TGTCCGCCCCTCGACGGCTTCCACATTCGAGTCGACATCGGGTGACACGGGGTTCTCTTTAACCGTAATTACTGAATTCGACCGGTGAAACGACACTTGCGGAGTCATGTCCAGCAGACCGACGTCGCTAGCTGTAGCTTCCTCCGTCGAAACGTGATCACCTGACCCTCGATTTCGTCTGGTCGAAGTCGATGAGTAATTCAGCCGTTCATCGTCCTCATCCGACTGCTCCCCCGGCTTGGGTTTCGGTTTCGGTTTCGGTGTCGGCACCGTCGCGCTACTGCTGTTTCCTAACAACGCACTGCACATGAAATCAAACTTGTTCGCATTTGCTTGTGCGCCTAGGTATGAAGCTGAGGAAATGGACATTTCTCGGCCAGAAGAGCGGTAACCAATCGAACTCCCTGGACAACCGTAGTTTTCCTCCTGCCGTACGTACTGTTGCACCATGGCAGCGACGGCGGCTGCGTAGTTGGTCGTTATGTCCAGCTCCGAAGAACTGTAATCCGATGTAGCCGTGTCGCTGGTCGTACCGCCACTTGTTTCGTTGCCCGACAGGCCGGCGTACGATAATGTTTCCGCTTCACCTTAGAAAACAAAGTCATTAGCAGATGGCACATACGCCCTTAAAATCAACAACCAGGGTTAGCACTTTGCACCTGTTTACAAAACGGCTAGGTGAGAGGAACAGAGAACGAAATCCGTTGCCTCTCATGTTTGGCCATGGCTCATTCATGCAGCTCACGGTTTGGCATTAATCTTCGCTGTGTTATCGGCCAGCAGTTTCATACTGCTCCTTTCAGTGCTGTATGTATAATTAGGTGCCCACTAGAGCGAGCGACAGTTTTCCTTCCAACGACGCGGTAAGCTTTTCTTACCTCAGAAAGATGAAAAGCCACTCAACCGACCGGAGTTCAACCCCTGATCCTCCAATCGTGAATGCTATGCTGAACAGCTGAACAACTTTCGTCCGTTTGTTAGCATATACGCATAATCACTACCACCATATCACCGAAATTTATAATTCATAAATATCAGCAGATACAAGTAAAACATTTTCAGTGGACTGGAACAAAACTAATTCCAACCAGTCAGAAAACAAGCTTTTTTTCAGTAGTTATCGGAAGACAGCTAAATCGTGAGAAGCGGTTTAAATTGCACGAGAATAAACGGAGAAATTCTATTCATTGTCTGTGCAAGAAGCAGAAAGTAAATGTATCAGAGGTCAATTAAACGACATTTGTACTGCGATTAACACAATTCAACACGGTGCTCATTCGAAT